CTTACTGATCAGTGCTACAGGTTAAACAGGGAGGAGGTATTGCAGTCAAAATTGATGGAGACATTGGACATTGGGGAGTGATTCATAACTTTTAAATGTGACAAGTGCTTCTCTTTCTTCTGTATTTTCACTATTATCTATTAAAAGAAGATATTTATTTCTAAAATGGATCCTGAAGCAGCCAAAATAAAAACTATTATTTTCTTCAGATACTTATTTCTTCTTTTTTCTTATTTTATTGAATTTATTGGGGGGGACACTGGTTAACATAATTATACAGGTTTCAAGTGTACAATTTCACAACACATCATCTGTACACTGTATTGTGTGTTTACCTCCTAAGTCAAGTCTCCTCCCATCATGAAAAGATACTCAGTATCACTAATCATCAGAGAGATGTAAATTAAAACCACAGTGGGATATCACCTCAGACCTCCCAAAATGACTACCGTCAATATATTGACAAACAGCAAGTGTTGGCAAGGATGTGGAGAAAAGGGAACCCTCCTGAACTGTTGGTGAGAATGCAGATTGGTGTCTCCAGATTCTAAATTAGATCAACTCTAAAGGGCACTCTTATGATGCCAAAATGGAAAAATTTTACTAAAACTGGTGGGCACGGGAGGGGGTGAGTGGAGGGGCTGGTTCAGTAATGAGTGCAGACAACAGACAAACAGCTTAGAGAAAACATCTGCAAATAAGAATTGACTGGTTGCACCAACAGATAAGAAAACATTATTTAAAAAGGGCCATTTAGTCATTTTCCTCAGTGTATTTATTTTGTTTTCAAAATGTAGTTGTTGTTTTGGCATTATAGGGCCCAGGTATTAGGCATTATTTCTCGGAATGAAAAGAACTTAAGAATCACTGATTGTTATCATGAGATGTAGTAAAAGTGCATTAAGACAGAAAACAAAATGTGAAAGAGAAGTTTAGAAAAATGTGTTTACAATTTAACAGCTACTGGAAAGGAAGAATTAAAAATCCTTTTGGGTCCTTTATGGTTATTTTCTGAGTCTTTTGCAGCCATTGCTCACTGAGCTGTTTTGAATGGTTGTGTCTTGGGGCACAGATGTCTGTCTGCCTGCTGTCCCTCAGCAGACTCTGGTGGATACAGGGTAGGTATCTTCGCTGTGCACTAATGGTGTTCTGTTATCTGTGGCACATCCTTGCCTCCATAAGGTCTCAGGGTCAAGAAAGGGTTAGGTAACACTAATTAATGGAGTCTAAAAGAACACAAAATGATATATCCTAGCTACTCAGAGTCTGTGGTTGATTATTATATTAAGAATTTTCAATATCAGTTGTGACTCCTGTTTTGCATGCTGGGCACTAGCCAGAATGACTCAGGTGTGCCCATGTGCAGTTCCCTGAGGAGACAGTGGGAGGTATAAATATCTGGAAGAGTGGTCCACTAAAGACAAACTTGTCTATTCTGCCTTTGGCATCAAAGTCTGTTAGAGAATGTGAAAACATTTCTCTCTAGGCCTCACTTTGTAAGAATCCAGGCTATACTTCATAGTAAATTTTCCTGACTGAGTCAAATTCTTTTTTTTATGTTTTTAAAATTTATTTTTATTGATTTTTAGAGAGAGAGAGAGAGAGAGAGAGAGAGAGAGAGAGAGAGAGACAGAGAGACAGCGATGTGAGAAAGAAATATCTATCAGCTGCCTCTTGCACGCCCCCTACTGGGGATAGAGCCTGCAACCCAGGCATGTGCCCTGAACTCAGGGAATAGGATCAAAACCTCTCAGTTCATGGGACTACACTCAATCCACTGAGCCACACCGGCCAGGCCTGAGTCAAAGTCCCTGACACTGTGGATAGGGAAATTGAGTGCCATCTTTTCCAGGAGAATGGGCTTGCCCAGAGTCACGCAGTTGACAGGAGGACCTCAATCTTTTGACTTATAGTCCAGACCTCTTTCTGTTATCTTGTGCTGCATTTGTCTCTCCCCAACTACCTTAATTCCAGGGAATAAGAAACCAACAGCTATTAACCAAATGGTTTTGGCATAGCTAAAATAGCCTTGTGTTATATATTGTATTGTATGTATTGTATGGAGAGATGTAAGAGCAAATCCATATTAAACATGTTGTCTCTAAATGTTATAGGACTGGAGACTGAACCATTAGAAGGTCATTTCTGTGGATCTAGAAGATTCTGTACTCTTAAGAAGCTCTTGCCCAAAGATAGGATAGAATTGAAGTTCTTGTCAGCTGGCAGGGAAAGTAGGTCAGGAGAATGGATCTGGAAACCAGATTTAGTATCTTGGGGAAAGGGGGATACTTTGAAAGGAGAAGTCAATACAAACTTTGGAGACCTTAGAGTTGTGCCACAGGCTGACCTTCAGGGGATTGAAATGAATACTTACAGAATAAAAGTTGAAAAGGATGTTCTAGATTTCAATATTTTCAGGCAGACCATGAAGAGCTCCTTGTCTTGGAGTACACATAATTTCTGGCAAGCTTGGCATAAAACAAGGAAGATAGAACAGTCAAATAGTAGAACATAGATGTTTGGAGACACTCCTCCCTATATCAATAAATGTAGTTGCTTTCAATGTGGAATTTTACATGTAGGTGTGTTTGAGTACTGGCTTTCAAAGCTGATTCTGTTCTCAGGGTAGGAAAATGTCTCAGCAACAGGGAGCTGTGAGCCTTGACCCAGGCTTGCCATAGACTCACTATACTTCTGGACAATTATTTTGTTCCTCTTCTTTCCCAGATAAAAATAAAATTTTGCATATGCCCTGGCTATGTGGCTCAGTTGTATAGAAGAGGTCATGCATAGAAACAATGTCCCTTTTAATTAGAAAAATAACTATTTGCAATACAAATGTTAAATCTTATGCCATTAACTATGTTCTCCATATATAGACATAAATAAAATGGGGAGAAAATCTTTTTGAGAGTTAATAACAGTGTATATCTGTGGAACCCTTTTCCAAGGAGAAGGCCTAAAAAATCTTCCACAACATTTTAAACTCCATGAAAGCAGGTATTTGTGTTTATTCTATTCACTGCTGTGCCTTCAGTACCTCTAACAATGCTTGTTGCATAGTAAATAACCAATATTTTTTATTGAATATATTTGATGTATAACATTGTATAAATTTAAGGTGTACAATGTATTAATCTGATACATTTATATGTTTAAATATGATTGTCATTGTAGTGCTATTTAGCACCTCTGTCACATTACATAACTATCATTTCTTTTTATTAAAGGATATTTTTAAAGAATTTTATTTAAGATCCTTCCTAAAATGTGTGTGTGTGTGTGTGTGTGTGTGTGTGTGTGTGTGTATAAAATGGGTTCATAAAGTTAATTCATTTTTTCTAATCAGTATGCCTCTCCTTGTTTTTTACTTTTTACCCATGGCCTTTGATTCATTTCTGATGACTGCCCATCCTTTTGATTGATGCACTTGTAATATCTTCCTGGATCACCACTGAATACTACACCTGGACAACCTGGACTCCCAGGTAAGACAGTGAACTTCTAAGTCTCCTCAGTGAACAAACTTTAGTATGCAGTTGAGAAGTATACATAGAAATTAGAGAAATAATCTCAAGAGTCAATAGTTCCTCCTAATTAAAGTTAAATTTGATCTGGTCCCCATATAAATCAATTATGCACATATTTATATTATTTGAAGGTTTCCGTTAGTGCAGCAAAATTAAATTATTGTTTTAGAAAGTGCTATGTATTTTACTTTGGAATTTTCTAGTACTGAGAATCAACATAGAACTTCATCTTTTTTTTTGTTTTTGTTTTGTATTTTTTACCCAAATTTATGTTATTTTTTGTTCATGAGGCCAAGTGCAGTGGAAGGGGTACTAGCTTCTCTTCACTGTGTAGGGAAACTACGTCATGGGATAGATCAGAAAACTTTAGATTATTTATTTCTTGTGGTTGGACTAGAAGAGGAACATTAGCCTGTCTAACAGATCAGGCATCAGGGCTCACCAACTACATCACTTAGTTTTTCATAACACTTGCTTCTGTGGCATTCTTACCAACTCACAGAACCAGGGAAGTAGGGCTTAGGCTTCCTAGGAACTGATAATAAGAGTTTTATATAGTAATGCTATTAAAAGTCTCTCTTACCTCATTTCCAAAGCCTCCAGAAAAATTTAATGTAAAGAAACACTTCTCCCAAGAAACTGTATAGGCCATATAATTTTCTTTGGGCACAAAAGTATTATCACATTATATTATCCCTCACTTAATATAAAACAAAACCTGAGACTGTTTGAACCCGCAAATTAACAATTGACCCATGCACAACTTCACAGTCCATGCTAATATAAAAAATTCACAGAGTGGAATTAGTGTTTTGTGACTCTAAAGACATATACTATGTAAACAACTGGACATTTTTTAAAATGGAGAGACACATTGCTTACTTTGATGGATGTCTTGCATTTGGATAGAAAGAACTAGTATAATGCTTTATGTATTACTGTGTGCTTTGAATTTTCATCCTTTTAAAAGAATATCAGCAAAGTCTAATCATTCTTGTTTTTATTTTCCTTTGATTATTTGTGTTTTATGTATTCCTGATAATATGAGAAATTCCTATAAATTCTTACTAGGTTCTTTCAATCAGGCATTTTCATTTTAGTGATGCCATAGCATTTAGTTTGGTTTGGTTTTTGGTTTAATGGCTTTTGTTTTTTCTTAGATTGCAATTGCTTTTGTGAAAGGGAATGCAGTGAACAAGACTGAGTGGTAGATCTGTCATTCTTAGTCCATAACTTTCCATCTGTCTGGCTTTTAGGGCTGTCTGTTTCAGCACTCTGGTTCATAATTTCACCTACTTGAGAGGAGCTGAATTAGGAGCAAAGTAAAGGAGCCATTCATAAGCTGGTTCCTTATGGGTGTGAAAGCTGAAAAAAAAAATGTTTTCACAGCAAACTGGAAGGCTTTTCTTATTTTAACTTCTTTTTTTACCAAGCTCTTGCTAGTGCCTAGTTTCATTGTTCCTTTAACAGGTGGAGGATTTTTCAGATTCTAGCTGTGATGTGGTAAGTGACAATGCATTTTTAGTTTAACTGAACCCAAATAAGCTAGAATAAATAGACTCTGCAGTTACTTATTAGTTTAATTTCAATAAAATAAATAGGTTTTTGTCTTGGACAAATTCTTTTCAGGACTCTTTTTTTAGCTTAAAATGGCTAAGACTACTCAGGCATGTATATAGTGTTTGTCATGCAGATCTAGTGCAAAAGTGGGGTGAATGTTTAGGGCCAGCTCCCCAGACAGTTGGGCAGTAGGTCATTAGCTCCTTCTTTTCTGTTTGCTGAAATAGGATGATACAGTGGAGTGTTTTGTGAAGAAGGCCCCACCACCCACCAACAACATCTTCTTCACAACTCTCAGACATGCCTGCTTGTTGCTAGACTGGATGGTGGTTTAGGGACCAACTAGGTCAGCTTTTAATTGAAGGAAAATCAATTATCCAATTATTTGAAAATATCAGGGCTTTTAAAGTATGTAAATACAGTGTGGGGCAAAAGTAGGCTTATGTTTGTTCCTATGAAAATAATACAGTAGTTAAGAGATAATAATATAAGAATAAACTCTATTTTATGTCACAATTGTAAACCTGCCAACTCTTGGCCTGCCAGGGGTTGTTGTGATGCAATAAACTACAAGAGACAGGGCTTGGAGTGAAGGGGAGCATCACAAGGGAGCATCACAAGGGATCAAATGCTACTGATCTCTGGATGCAGCCCAATTTATTTACAAAGCAGTTCTCTTGGTTGCACCATGCTTTAGGTAATCATGTCCTTGAGATAGCATCTCTGTTGACCCAGCTTTCTTGCTGTTTTACACATTCACTCCTTTGGTGGGCAGCTTTCCAACCTGGTCTTTCTCACACATATTTGTCCTTGGCTGGCCAGGCCGCGAGAATGCATATCTCAATGTTACGTTTTGTTCATCCACCAAACCCCAACCCTACATTTTCCCCTTTTTGTTTTCTTGTAATTGAGGAATTACCACAGGTATAGTAGTCAGGAGCTTCATCACTCACTTTTTGGTCTTCTGCATAGAGGGCACCATTCGCCACAGCCCTTGGAATACTGAGGCCAACAAAAAGAAGAAAACAACAAATAGCAGTAAAAATATAGATTCCAAGATTGAAACCCTAAAACCAGTGCTTTGGATTGGGCCATTGGACATTATCTGAGATTGCCTTCAAAACATTTTGTTGAGCAAGCTGTTGTATATCTAGTAAATGTGTTTCCAGAGCTCTTTTTAGATTAGTTATTTGCCCTCCAAGATTGCCAGCAAATGCCCCTTATAGGTGTTGCTTGACCATTGTCCAATTATGGGAGGTGGCATTCCAAGGTAATACAGTTACACACATACTATGACTACATTCCCAATCACAGTGTAACCTAGAACAAATGACCAATGCCTCTTCATGCTCTCCCAGCCAAAATACAACTACTTCTAAGGCATCTAATCAAGCTAGAAGCCCTTGATCAATATCTGTCTGGGAAACCATATCTTTAGTAACATTGATCATCACTTCAACAACTGTATGTGCCATTTGGACCAATTCTGCCAAGGCCATGACTGAAATAGCTGCAGTAGCAGCAATGACTATGGCTGAAATTATGAATGCTACAAGCCACCCAATAAACCTCCTTTTATGAGGATGTCCTAATGCTTTAGATAATTATGCTAAGCCAGATTCACCTTCCCATGCTCGAGTAAGGTTTACTGGTATCCATACTTCTGCCCTATGGTGCATGGGAATAATGTTAGTAATATTAAGCATTGTGATATTTTTATGAGTAATGCAGCTTAGATAATAAGGTTGATTAACAGAAATGTTAAATATATTATGACTTTCAGAGATATTTATGGAAGCCAAAAACATATATGGGTGATAGGTGCAAATCATTACAGAATCATTATAATTAGCAGTCAATGTCAGAGTAAAATTGCTACTACGGGTATAATTTCCATGAGATCTATAGATCATAAAGAAAGCCAACCCAGTCTCCATATTCCTGTGTGCCAATGGCAGAATGACTTTTATAGGTAGCCCTGAGAACAGGTCCTGAGAGACCTCCATTGGTCCATGAAATAGAGGCAACTAGAGGGAGTGAAAAAGTTTAACTCATGATGATTGCTGGACAAATGTCCTTGAGGACCCCATTCCTCAATAATAAGGCTCAAATTAGGGCTAGCTATGGACCGTCCTTCTCTCAAGCAGCAAGGCTTCCAATATGGAGCCAGGGACTCAAGGGTGGTTTCTTGAAATGAAATGCAGGTGGAGATAGACACAGGGGGTTTAGAATTATGAGAGACATTTTGTGCTCTAAGCCAAATGCCTATGATAAAGCTCAAGTTGGCAGCCTGGCCTGATGTGGCTGGTTTATAGTACAAATGCCAGTGTAATTGTATGGGAACATAACCAGGGGTATCATCGATGGACAAAAAAAGGGGTGGTGGTGGTTGCTCAGATAAAAATGAAACAGTGGTACTGTCCTGAAACCAATCTTCATTCTCTTGTAGTGGCCCTTCTGGGGGAAGCCAAGTTTCTCTTTTCCAGTGAGTGTAGTTGTGAGATAAAAGGGCTTCCAAATCCCATCAAATGACAGGGCGGAATAAAGGGGGGGGGTCCATAATATGAGCCCAATATAAGTGTTGTTCTGCTGATATAGGACTCAATAATATAAACAAGCAGCACAAATACCCACCACAGACTGTGTGTCAACTACAAATAAATAAGCAAAAAAGTATTCTCTGGAGTAAGAGGCATTCCCACTCTAGCTAATACTTCCTCAGAGCATTGCTGCAGCTGGTTGAGGCTTCCCCAGGTAACCACAGGAAAGTTTCGAGAGGGACCCCAAGACCCATCAAGAGTGTTATGGTTATTGTCCGAGGTCAGCTGCTCTATCTGAGCAACCAGGTTGAAGGGCAGGTCCTTCCAACTCATAATAAGGTCTTATCCATCGAGCTGCCAACAACTTGGGACATGTAGGAGACAAAACACAAACATACCCTCGCCCCCATGCCAATAACTCTTCAGGACCTTGCCATTCAGGCTCCTGCTGTGGATCTCTGTACTGGACCAAAGGCTTGGGCCCTGTGGTAGAAAATGTTGGTTGAAAATGATGCTCCATAACCATGGTACCAAAATGTTCTCGATTCAAAAAACTTAAGAGTATAGATTGCCAGAAAAATTTGATTCATGGGGGTTTCACCCATATTCCCCCTTTCGTGTTTTTCAATTAATGATTTTAAAGGAACATGAGCACGTTCAACAATAGCTGTACTCCTGTAGGGTCATAGGGGATGCTAGTTTTGTGCCCAATGCTCCACTGTTGGAAAAATAATTTAATGCTTTGAGATATATAGGCTGGCCCATTATCTGTTTTAATTTCTAGTGGCACCCCCATATGTGCAAAACAGGACAGCCAGTGATGCTTAACAACTTTGGCTTTTCCCCTGTAGTCGCAGTTGCATGCAGAAAATTAGAATGGGTATCAATGGCAACATGTACCCACTGAAAACAACCAAAGGATGAAATCTGTATGATATCTGTTTGCCATAAGGGTTAAACCCCGAGGCTTGACTCCTGTCAATGTTGGAGTCCTTCGAAAAGGTGGCAATCTGGGCAAGCTTTAATGATGTCTTGAGCTTGTGAAAGTGTCAAATGAATGAGTACTCCAGCATTCTGGTGAAAAAAGGCATGCAAATTCTGTGCTTGCTGAAATTCAAGAGTTCCTGCTACAATGACATCTGCCTGCTGATTTCCTCGTGTTAAAGGTCTGGGGCGTGTAGAATGAGATCAAATATGGGTTATAAAAATAAGATGATTCCATTGGTCTATCCAAATTTGGAGAGATAAGAATAAGGTTAATAGATGCTGAACAGATAAAGGCTTGCTCTACTCTTTGTAACACTTTAACCACATATTGTGAATCACGAGCTCTCCTATAAATTGCTGAAGACCTATTATTGCAGCTCGTAATTCAGCACGCTGAGTTGACCCAGGCTCAAGGCTGCTAATATTTCTCCATTCCTCATTTTCTTTCCAGGCTACACCTGCTTTGTGAGACTTACTGGATCCATCAATGAATACAGTTCTAGCCCCAGGTAATGGGGTATGACTGATTTTTTGCACCATGTTAAGATACAATTGAGGAATATTTTGTAAGAATTTGTTTGCTGGAAGAGAATAATTTATTTCCCAAATGAAATCTTCTAGAGCTACTTGAAAATCTATTGCCTGGGAAATCAAAATGGTAAATTGTTCCTGAGTAAGAGGTAAATGTAGAATCTGAGGGTCACACATTATCAATTCTTGTGTTCTTTTCCTACTTTTGGCTATTAGATTTGCCAATTGTTTGATAAATAGAGTTATTGTTTTAGATGGGATAGCTGGGAGAAAAATTCATTCAAGATATTTGACTTTAGGTGTTAATTGTCCTATTAATGCTGTGGAGTATGGTGCAATCAGATATACAAATAGCCAGATAAGGTTTTTAATGATCAAGGATGATTTTACTAGGTTTGTATTTGAGTGGTTATTTCTCTAAGTTCCTGCTGCACCTCTACTTATAGAGTTCTAGATGAATTTAGTGCTGGATCACCCTTGACAGTTTTAAATAAATGAGTTAACTGCTGAGTAGTGATACCAATCATAGGTCAAAGACAACTGATGGCCCCCAATAATTTTTGTAGTTTGTTTAAAGGTGTTACCTGTACTAGAATGGTAAGTTTCTGGGGGCGAATAGTCTTGCCCCTAATATCCACCCCAAGTATTGCCAAGGTTCTAATTGCTGTACCTTGCCTGGAGCAAGTTGTAATCCTGCCTCTTTCAAAGTCTCCTGAAGCATAACATAGGCCTGCTTCAATTCCTTTGGGGTAGAGGCAGCTAACAAAATATAATGGTATAGATAAGTGTAGGGAATTGTTTCCTTACTGGATCAATAGCATGATGGATACAGTATTGACAAATTGTTGGATTATTTATCATTCCTTGGGGTTGTACCTTCCATCA